TTTCCAGCCAATAGAAAAAATAGTAAAAAAAATTAATTGCTATTAAAAAGTGAGATATTTGCAAAAAACGATATCAGAAGGATGGCAACAATGTTTTCCAAGGTAATCTGCCTAATTAACATTATGTGAAAACATGTTGCTTTGTAATTATTAAAAATTCCTCTCCAAGTGGGTCCGTGACACCGCCATAATCACCCTGTATAATTGATATAACTATCCATTATGCGAGTTGATTTGCGTGCCAAAAAATGCATGCCAAGGCTTAAAGCAGCAACAACGCTACACATAAAAACTGATGATGGTGGAAAAATACACCGAAACGTATTTTTATTAATAAATAGAGACAATAAATGACTGAAACCCAGGAATAGATTTGATTTGGAATATTTTTTATGTGTTTTATTCCCAATCAATTTCCATCAAACTAGGATTCCCGCTTGATATTGAGGCCCTAGTTAAGTTAAATTGGATTTGTTTTTAAAAGTAATCTTCATCGATACTTCACATCGCTTCGAGTCGTTCATTCCTGCTGAAGTTTTAAGAGCTTGTTATTCTATTGGTTTGGTTGGGGCACACAACTTCGATCCACCATGCTCAAGGAACAAAGACATATTGAAGTGGCGCTTGACTAACAATCACTGTATACATTTTCTAGCTTTTCGTTGTCACTGAAGCTTAGCGAAGGGAAAAAATCGGATGTTGCTGAAACTAACGAGGCAACTCGGACAAATGGATCATTGGTCATCAAAAAAATAGGCAGTATGCAGTAAATCGGTGGTATTTTTTTCCGGTAAAGGCACAAGCCGGGCAGAGCGTCCGACAGGACCCATTCCTGTCCAGTTTGAGCAGTCAGCGTCCGTTTCCCGACATTAAACTCGAAAGCTCTGGTCCGCCTTCCTTGGATATCCCGCTCCAGAAGAGGAAGAAACCGTTTGCAAGCGTAAATCTGGAAAACTAATGGCCGCCACTTTGTTTCAGAAGGACCTCTTTTCCGAACATGGGCCACTCACTTACTGTGATAGACATTAGGGCTGCAAAAGAGGTCTTCAGGATTGCGGTGTTTTAACCATGACTTTCTATAGATTACCTAGACGCGAACGAATTTTCAAATTCCATAAACTAAATTTTAGATATGTGTGTAAGCGGCACTCGCCCATGCACCCTAACGTATTTCAGTTTGCTGGTGCACATTTGTCGCGTTAATTAAAGAAAGCTAAAGTAAAAAGATGATGATTCAATAAAATATGAAAAATGTTCCCGCTCTGTTTAAACCAACACTGACTGAATAGTTTTATCGGTTTTTTTACTGCGCGCTGTTCAGAATTTTTATTAAAAGGTGTTGACTAAATGAATAGAGAATATTGATGGGAATTTCAAACCGACAGTCATTTATATTCATGGGAGAAGATGGGCGCGGATTTTAGAAAAAATCGAAGATGTCGGAGACCTGTTTTTACCGCTAGGACAAAGTTTGCGTTATTTAGTCAGTTAATTGTTATCGATTGCGTGCTTTATTATTTGTCATGGGCTCCTTCAATACATTGTGAATGAGTGTTTGAATCCTGCGCTGTCACCAAATAACCCAGAGAGCATTTGATATTCTATGAATATCCCAGAATGTTCAAAAAATATACAGAACATTGCGGGAATATCCTGGGAATATACATGGCTGAACATTCCTAACATGAATGTTCGTGGAATGTACATGCATGTATATTCATCAAAGTTCATAAAAAGTATATCCTAGGTATGTACATATATGTACATATTGGGTATATGTGCAGATGAACATGCCTGGTATGTACATATTGTGTATATGTGCAGGTGAATATACCTAGTATGTTCAAAACAAATATTCCGGTAATATACATGAATTTATATCTACGGTATATTCCAAATTGGTTGAATATAAATTTT